AAAAAAAAAGATTCGCATTGATGCAAGGTGTGTTTCCTATGGTTCAATACAGAGTTAAACACTTTATACATATAATGACATTTGATCTTCAGAAGACACATCTAGCAATTCTAATGTTATGTAAGGAGCATTACATATAACAACACTTTAACAACTTTTCAGAGTTCAAGTCTAGATATTCTGCTCTCTGATGGACACTGCCATTTCTACTGTAGACAGGCACATTCCTTTTTAGGGTAACCAGACAGCCTTTCTGCATGGAAGGGTCAACAGGGGCTCCAGAGGCAGGTTCCAGCTGACATGAATGCAATTATTCTGTCCTTGACGCACACTCAGTGCCAGAAGTGTTGCTCAGGGCTGTCCGATTGCATCAACTCCCTTTGTGTCTACAAGAGCTGCTTCACCACTAGACATGGCAGGGTCTTTTCTTGCTAAATGAAAAATAAGCGGAAGAGAAACAAATATGCAGGTGCCTTCAACACAGTCCCTCAATACACATATACTGTGTCATATCCGATATGCCAATAATCTTCAAGTTGTTTGAAATGAAACCAAGCACTGGGCCTTAGGCACTGCATATGCATTCAGATACGCAAGCCATACAAAGAGCTCATTGGATTAATACTTAAGCATTAGCCATAGTTTCTCTTTCTTTAAAGTAAATTCCTTTATTTCTTAAATTGTATTGTTTGTAAAAGAGAAGTCCCCAATCAAGCTGTCTACTTCTAGAATGTTACTCTCATAAGCTATGAAAAGGAGCCATCTACTGCCACATTTGATATTGCTCATAATTCATTAGTTTCCACCAACATTCAGAACTTGCAAAAATAATTATCATCCCAAAATAAGAAATGTAGAACTAAGTTTATGCGTGTTTTTAATGTTAAAACTAATTACAGTTTGCTGGAAAGCTCTGCTCATAAATTCCATCTTCTTCCTGAGACATTGGCTTCACAAATAACAAAGTACACTTGAGGGTATCTTCACTCATTCAGCAAGTATTTATGGAGAGTCTGCTCTGCTGCGTGGGAGAAGTGTGTTGGCCCCTGGTGATCTGATGGCAACAAGAGAGCTATAATCCCCGCCCTTGGGAACATGGTATAAGGTGAGCTGTCCTATAAAGGTGGACACACAGGTAAACATGCAGACTGTATGAGGATGGCCTTGGCAAGGAACAAGGAGCTCACTGTAGGAATGCACTAGGGACGGACCGCAGATGCTCACTTTGATAGGAGGGGAAGGCAGGTGGTTGCCATGACCTTCAGGGAGCCAATGAGGATGAAGAGACTGAGAAGATGGAGGTGGTTCCAAACTAGAGCACAGTAGGAGTGATGGTCTATGGGAGAGGGAATCTCCATCTGCTTCCGGGTAGAGACCGGAACCGAAGAAGAGGCAAACGGCGCAGAGCGTGGCCAGTCATGCTTACAAACAGAGCTAGATCCCGCAATCACTGGGTCCCTGGTGGCCCCGTAGTGGAGACAAGGAAGACATTTAGAAGCCATTGGTGGGACCACCAAACTTTCATCACATCTGGCCTATATTGCTGTGTACAAAGTTCACAGTCAAGAATTACACAACTGAGTTAAGATTAAAAGAAAAAAAAGAAATCAAAAACAATGTTTTGAATAAGTTCAGAGATTTATGTTGCACTATATTCCCAGCTACCCTGGGCAGCTTGAAGGCAGCAAGCTAAGGGTTAACTTCTAAGCATCTTTCTGGGCTGGCCTCTTACTCTGATGACAAGTACACTGTGATCACCACAGCCTTTTACAGGGAGAAAGGAACAGAACATTTGGTGACAAGTGTTTATTTTTCACAAGCACCCCGACTTTAGTGAGTTTTCCTCCGTTTCTGCAGCCCTCACCACACGACACCCCCCACACACACACACTGTTGCTCATTGTCCCTCTGTCGCACAGCTCTCTGCTAAGGTGCTCAGGACTGGAGAGCATTTGGGGAACTTCACAGACCCATTGTCAAGAGTGACTATATATTTCTATCAAGTCATAGTGATGATCACTGACTGCACTCCGAATGCATTTTGTGCCATTTGCCCTGTGTCATTTTTAAACTTTATGTAGTTTTGATGTGTTCTCCAACCCATCAACATAACTGTCTTGTGTCAGTTAAGTCCTATTTAGAAATAAAATCACACCATTTGGTGGAGATGACGTGTGTGAACTGTTCATTCTGTCCCATGAAATGAAGCGTTAGACTGAGCACACGCTGCACTGCGTCCCCACGCCTCACGCAGACAGCGTGTGATAAACGAATAGCGGGCCAGCTGCATGTAACCTTAGAACCCGGGTAAGCAACGGGATCTCTGCATCCTTGTGCACTTCTGTGGACTGACAGTGACGTTCGATAGCTTTGGAAGGAAGTGAGAGATAACGGTGGGAGACAAACAGTATAGTCCTTCAAAAGTAATAGTAGCTGTGGATCATTATTATTTATTATTGTTGTTGCTGTTATCTATGATGCTGGCTACCTTACACACTGCACCTAGTTCCTGTGTCGTGTCTTTGAGGGAGAGCAAGCTAAGCTCTGAAGAGGGTAAGCAATTTCCTAAAGCCAAGAGACAGGGCTGGGATTTGAACCCATCTCTGGCTCACACCAAAGCCATGCATGCAGCAGTCCAACTGTTCCCTTCCTTCCTGTGCTTACCTACCAAGCACAGCAAGCAAGCAGTAAGCTCCAACGATGTCCCTGTCAAAGCACACATTGTTTAAATCAGAAAATGTAAACCCATGTTTACAGATGTATGGCACATTCCATTTCACTAACAGCACATGTTTGTCGTATAATTAATTCCAGCAACAATCCTGTCCTGCCCTGATGGTTTCGGTGATGTGTAATGCGCTTGTACTTGCTTAAGTGAAACAGATGTTGCTGTGCACAACTCAGCAGCGTGGGGCTGTGCAGCTGCTTTCAGGAATGAGTAACCGAGTGACTAAAGCCAGCCCCGAAAGGAAGCAGGACCCTTTTCATGGAGCAACTACGTAAAGGAAGACACAAGCCATTTCCACCAACTGCTAATGATTTATTGGCTGAACCCCACCCCACCAGGCCCAGCAATTTCCAATTTGTCCCTTCCCATGCCTGCCTGGCCCATGTCCCCACCCTCTGGCCACCTGCCCTTCCCAGGATCCACCCTCTTTCTTAGGTGAATGGCTTCCTCAGCTCACAGCTCACACACCACACCCTGTCTACTGTACTGGCTTGCTCAGCAGCCGCTGCGCCCCTGCCCTGTGTCTTGAGGGAGTCTCCCCTTTGCCCGTCTTCCGTTGCTCCTCTACCGTAGCTGCCACCTCTTCCTCAACCGGCAGCCTGCGTTCCCTTTGCATTCCATGTCTCCCTGCAGAATTACTCTCAGTCAAGCAAAACAGATGAAACAAGCGGATATCCGAAAACCTTTCTCAAACACAGATCCCCCGATGGTAATCTCCCATGAATGGACTGCTAGACTCTCAGTTAGTCAGGCCAGGTCCCTGGGGCACAAGGAACCACCCCATGTAAATAGTCCATTATGTCTATCCTATTGTGGGTCATTGTTAATCGCTGGTGGGTAATTAGAACAGGCCTTTCTTTACAGTAGTCATAACAATTTTGATTTGCATTCATGGGCCTGGAAGCCTCCCATGCATTAGCTCTCAATCCTCATCACAAGCCTCCTTGCGGGTATGTGTGCTTATGTCTGTGTGTGTGAACATACAAGTAATGCAGGGATAAATTAAAACGTGTTTGCCGTCATATAGACCTAAGTGCCAAGTACAGGTTATGAATGTGATCTCTTTAAGTGTAAGGCTTGCCAGTGCCTCTTGGTGCCACCACACTCCTCCCAACTCCCACCACTGATATATATGCCAACAGGCTAAATACTTTATGTCCATCGAAGTTCATCCTTTGCCAACACACTCTTCAAATGATTCTATAGAGAGGTTCTAAGCATGTAAGATGCTCTTTGTCCTTCTCTGGTTTTCCTCTCCTGGATTTTTCATTGTCTTCCTCTAATGCATTACAAGGACTGTCTCCGAGGTCATACTGTTTCTCTTGTCACCTTCAAATCAGTCTTCACACCACTCTTCCCATCACTTCATATCCTCAGCGTTATCTTTCTACTGTTGGCTAAGTCACAGAAACAAGTTACTCTAGTATTAAAAAGGAACATCCTTTGGTGGCAGGAGATAGCTCAGATGGTAGAGGGGCTGGCCGGCAAGCCCAAGACCCTGTGGTGGATTCCTGAGGCCAACGTGATGAAAAGCAACAACTGACTCTCAAGTTATCCCCTGACCTCCACAAGCGCACCCTTGCACACGCACACCCATGCACACTCACAGTAAAACTAATCAATAAACGTTACTTTAAAAACCTTTATAAAGTGAGACCTGCTTTCTACGTTGTCTTATTTACTTGATGGTAATGCCTTAGGAAAAAAGAAGGTTTGAGAACAAACCAGTCACAATAAATACATTTAGGATCAAACTGAACTGTTCAGGGGGACTGATTGCAGAACAGGGGCCCTGGGCTCAGAGGAAGGCTCCTGACTAACAGAGAGAACTATTGAGGGTGCGAAGGACTGCAGTGTCAGAGGAGTGGTCAGAAGAGTTCACTCTCCTGGAGACACTGCACACTTGGGAATGGCATAACCTAAGACAGCAAGGAAAGGTTTGACCCGAGGATGCCCTTGGCTCTGGTTCTGAGTAAACTGGTGTCTACAACACAATGTTTAAAACAAAAAAGAAAGGCAAAAGTTTCTTTTTCTAGTTTGGATATGCAGCTCAAACCCAACTTACTGGCCTTTACTTTCTTTAGTTCCTGTTGGTTTTGCTTCTGTTTTGAGACAGAGCCCCACGATGTGGTCCACATTGGCCTTACACTCACAATCCTCTGCATCCCGAGGACTGTGATTACAGACACATGCCACCACACCCTCCTCAGTCCATCCTTAGTCTTAGGCTTCTGTTTCCCAAGGCGGTGGGATGAACAGCCAAGTTAGCAAGTGCTTTTATTTTTTTATTTTAAAAATCTAAGAATTGTCTCATATCTTTTAAACGTATACATGTAAACATTAAATCCTAGGTTGTTTATGAAAAGAGAATGATGCCATGCTCCCAACGGCAGAAAATCCATCCACACCTTTAGAATCCCCATTGTACTTGATTTCTGTGATTCTCTTTGTCTTAAAGTTCATCTCCAGCTCTGGCACCTCCGGCCCCTTCCTGGCAGCATTAACAATTATTAATTGGTAGGAGGTAGCATGCCAGTACCAGATCTTGCCCTTAGCAGCTACACTTTAAACGGGAATTATTCACTTGTAATCCAGGTTAGTGATCTTAAGCTAGGCTATCAAATGGACATCAGAGGAAGTCCATTTATGACCAAGGTAGCCTAAAATGAATATGTGCTAATGATGGCTCTGAAAATTCAGTTGCTTTATCCACTCCAATTGTGTATGTACATCATTCAAATAACTGACGAAGTATGCCAAAGGACTTTCACAGTAAAGTTGATTATAATTATAAATTGCCTTCATTATTCCTTGGAAAGCCAGGCAATGTAAATGGAACAGCTAAGTCACGTAAGTATGAAAATTATCCCACAGAGGGACAGTTTCTAGGCTTGTTCTTAGGAAGAACAGTGTGTGTCCAGTGTATAGTCCAGGAGCTTTAGCATACCCACATGCGTTCTTGGAAAACAAACAGCCTGATATTTCATAAGATGATGAAGAAAGGTAGACAGTAGTTACCTGTAAGGAAGAAAGAAAGGGTTAATTTAGTCAAAAAACGTTCAATAGGTTGAGAAATAAACATTACCATTCAGTGAATGTTAGAATATACATTGTTTCCAACCTGCCTGGAACCAGAAGCATGTGATGTTGTTTCAATTTGTGATTTGCTGTTGTCTGTAAGGAAGGGCTCTCTGAGAAAGAACCCTGGATACATTTGAACATCCAAAAGAATAAGGATGTTGCAAGGCAAGTCCACCAGAAACAACTAGAAAGTCTGTGTTGGCCATCCGTAGCTGCCCAAATCATGTAGCCCCTAAGTTTCCCCAGTTTGTCTTTTACAAACAAAAAATATACTCTGATTGACATCATTTAGTTAGCAAGAACAGTCTTTCAGTTAGCAAGAACAGTCAGTAAGAAGCAAAACTACTGAAGCCAAAAGCAAGGTAAGCAAATTTAGAGGCATTCCTGGGTCCTGGAAACCAGGTCTTTGTTCTTCTGTTGGCAGGCGCTGGGGCCTGTGCTGCAGTCTAGGCTCAGAATGGTGCTTCCAACACATTGTCAGTTGTGTTAAGGCCTGGTAGCCTGCTACATAAACAACCTTGGATTGTATTTATCATGGATCTGATAAATATTTTTAACTGTAAAAATCACACCAATTCCAAATTCTGAGTACAGCATTACAAACAAGCTACAGTTCCTAACTTTTTTTTTTAGATTACACATGGTAAGAATTAACATTTGGGATACTGAATTCTAAGCCTTGTGAAAAATACATCATCACATTACCCAACACAAAGATAGTTGTAAAGAGTAAATGTTCTGTATATCTAGATTTCCTCACACTGCCCTGCCATCCTTATCCCCATGAGCCACTGAGTGGGTCTCCAGGTCTGTAATTTTCTTTTATAAAATATGATGCATGGTCTATGGTGTAGAGGGTGGCTTCTTTCACTTAGCAAATTTTTTTTAATTTAAGCATAGTGCTTATGTCTATCCATTCTGTTGCTTTCAAACTTTTATTCATTTTAAAATTATGCATATGCCTGTGTTTGTGTCTGTGTGAGTACATGCACCTGTGTGTGGGGTACCTTCAGAATCCAGAAGAAGTTATTGGATCCCCGGAGCTTAGTTCCAGGTGGTTAAGTGCTACCTACTGTGGGAGCTAGGAAGTGAAATGAGGTTCAATAAAAGAATTGGAAGCACTCTTAATCACTGAGCCATCTCCCCAAGCCTGACTCTACCCCTTCTTATTGCCAGTTAGTAGTCCATTGTGCATCATGTGTCTTTCTCCACTCATCAAATTCTATAGTTATAAAGAAAAGTACTCTGAGTATTTGCATATCTTTTCTATAAATGCAATGTTTGTTTCTCTTGGGCTCAGAGTGAGGCTTCCTGAATTGTATCATAAGAAGCACTTCACACTACAGGAACAGTGAAACTGTCTTCTAAAATAATTCTGCCATTTTGACTTCTTGTTGATAATAAATAAGAAATCTGGCTTCAACAATGCATTCATTAATGGAGAAACCTATTAAATATCTATTGACTTGTATTCACACTGAGTAATTCTTCCTTCAGATACAGCAAGTCTTCTAATAAGCATCTGAGTATTCACATTTCTCATTTCTGTTTTCACTGTACAGTACACCACAGCTTCCATCTCTATTGAAATAGTAGTCTGCTCTTATTTGTGATTTATCTTTTCCTCTACAGCCTAGTGTATTCATCAGTCTTTTCCTGAGAGATCCATCATCATTATCATCTCAAGTTGTATCCATCACTGCTTTTTTTTCTGGTACTTTGTTCATTGTATTTTAGACATCTATGTAGGAATAGAAACTAAGGAAATTCTTAGTTTACATGAAAACATTCCGTCCCATATACTAGATCTGTAGTTTTAATGACTGGGACAAATAGGAGAAGCGAGTTGAAGTGAGTGCTATAGTTATGCACTCCATGCATGTTCCTGCCCCTCCTCCAAGGCCAGCAAGCTTTTCAGTTTCACAGAAAACATTAGTATTCCCCCAAAATAGCTCCAGCCTGTGCCTGGGGTGCAGGTGTGCACCTGAGTCGGTGGTTTAAGACTCTTGCAGGATAAGGATGAGAGCTAAGGATGCTCAGGGCTTCCAGTCTGTCCTGCAGGACTGGGGCACACACCATGGAAGAATATTCTATCAGGATTCTCATCAATCTATTTGACTGAAATCTATGGAGAAAACTGCATGTGTGTAAACATTTGTCCTATCTACTGCCCCCAGGGGCTCACCCTCTCAGAAGCTCGTTCAACTTCCACCAATCCCTTAACCGAATTCCTTAACCAGTTCTTAATAGTACCTGTGATGACTTAATGGTGCCTGTGATGAACCAGCTGACCCCATCTTGGGCTTAAAAGCTCCCTTATAATAAAGACAACCTAGGTTCGTTCCTGTTTATGCTTAAATCTCTACTTTTCAAGGATTGGGATATGTCCCACATATAACCTTAAGTGCATATGACTCTGCACTGCCTATTCTAGGAAACAACAACCATGTCTTTGTTTCAAAACGTTATAACCATCTCACAACCCTACCCTTGTTTCAAGAGGTTGTTATGACCACCTGTTGTTATGTCTACCTATGATCACCTTGCAGTCATGTCTTTGTTTCAGGAGGTCATTATGACTGACTTTTTATGCTCATGTTCTGCCCTGCAACCCCGCTTGTTTTGCCCTCCAAAACCCCCATTTGGAAAACACCTACCCATGAGCTATAGCTCATATCTAATATTGATCTCTTTAACTCTGCTTTTAGGGAGAGACAGCCCATGTACATGAATAAAAAGCTTGCTTTAATTAGTTTGGCCATAATTATTTGTGTGGGTGGTCTTTCTCCTCATATCTTTGATACTAACAACAAATCACATCCCCATTCCCTACTCCCTTTAAGCAGGTGTCCCATCCTTTGGGTTCAGGGAAAGATGCTGAACTTGCAGATTGGCTGTTCAAGATGGACTTCTAAGGATGAACACTGATGTTCTTTCTAATGGCATCACAGGAAAAAATAAAAAGTCTCCATGTTCTTAGATTTCATGTTCCACATTGGCCCTTCAATATATCAGCTGTCACCAAATTCATGAAAATGTCAATGAAACTTAATTCCCATGGTCGAAACTGTCTCACTGGTCACATCTAGTTTAACCATATGGAGTTCTGGTTGTTATGTGAATTATTTTATCAAATTTCTTACTTAACAGTCTGACTTTGAACTGTATTTTAATGTTTTTCATCTCAGTTGTCCCAACTCTCAGAAAGATTAAGGTAAATGATCTACATAATCTTTTCTAGTTACTGGGGAGGGCTGTTATCAAATTAAGATCATGGGAAGGGGATTATTCACTTGAGTGAGGAGAACCTGACAGTAGCTGCATCACTGAGGAACAGGGCATAAGATTTTTGATATTCATCTATGCAATCAAGTGACTCAAGGCTTATTCCTGTTATTATTGCATACTATTCAAAATCGGAATATTGCTTTTTTTTCACTCACAAACTGGTGCAGAATTGGATTTCTTCCAGCTTGCTGGAGCCTATGACTATTTATTTCCATACTTATCAGCCCTGGAATCTCTCTATATTACTAACATTCCCCATTTCTGAGGAGCCATCATTGCATTTTTCTGTAGTTCCTTAAACATATACATCCTAATTCCTTCAACACACAGGCAGTGCATGATGTAATATTTATTTACTAAATGTCGTTCCAGCCAGAGACAATTTTCTCAGAAACAGCTTTTTATACTAAGTGTGATTCATACTTTACTATTTGTTTACCTTCGCCTGTTCTAAGTTTTCATAGAAACCTGAAAATTCAGATACTATGACAAGTCTAGATTATGATTTCTTTTTTGTCTGCATCTCCAAACTTCCCCTTTTGCTACTTGTTCTGGTTGTTGCAAGAAACACACCTAGGCTTGTCTGAGGAATCCCTCACCCCTATGGTGCACAGCTGCTGAGTTTTGTTCTGTTTTGTTTTTAAACCTGATTTTCTACAAGCTTTTTTTTTTAACTTAGTGATCTGTGAGTGATTGAGCAACAACATGCTCAAGCTCAAGCTCAAAGTTGGCTTAAGGAACACATTTGAATTTCTCTGGGCTCTAACACACACACACACACACACACACACACACACATACTGGCTCCCAGTCAAGGTTGTTCACAGTGCAGATCATGTTCCTAGGTTGCATTGCTTTCTTGTCCTAACCTGGACTGCAACTTGACTCAGTAGAACTTTTGCCTTCTCCCGTTTGTTGCTGGTTGAAATTGCCCCAACCCCCACTCCAAATAAGGCCATCTGCCTCCAGGAGCAAAGTCTGCTGCTTCATGGCCCGACATACTTTAAAATGACTGTGTTGATTGCACAGTTTTGAGGGGGGAGGATTTGCCATCCTCCTGGGTCGTGCTGTCACCTAAGGTGCTCAGAATGAATTCTCTTCAGCAGGATCTAGCTCTCACTGAAGCCAGCTGGGGATGCAGTAGAACTATTCCTTTTACTCTTCTAAAAACCACAATCCTATCAGCACTGCTGGCGTGAACTTTCGTGTGTCTGTCGAAGTTCTAACTTTCTCTTCTGATGAATGATCAAAGAACGACATAGCATTTAAGGATGTCGCCATTGTCTCTTTCAAGGAAGCCAACTGAGTAGGAGAGAATCCGGAAAATCCCTCTTAGCTTTTAGCCACTTCCTCCTTTGTGGCTTCACTCGCCATATTTTCCTGCCTTACTTTATGGAATTTGTGCATCCCAGAAGAGAACCCTCAACTCTCTTCTACTCATCATCCATACAAAGACACAGTTAGTAGAGCTACCCCATCACTGGCCTGTAGGGTAGTGGAGCCAGATTTGCAACCATCTTGCCGTCTTTAGAGGGCAGTAAACAGGAAACTGAACACATGACAAACAAAAGCCTTGCTTTCAGGTAAAGGTCAAACTAGCTCTTCTTTTAATCTTCTCATTCTTTACTTTTCTCTTACACCGAGCCTGGATTGGTTTTGGCAGAATAAAAATTTGAGTTTGCACATGAGCTTGCCTGGCCTGTGTGGGAGCACAAGACCTTGAGTAGAGACCCACTTTCCTTTCTGCCTGGGAGTAGGCAGCTGTAAGACAATGTTTACTAAAAACATGTTTACTAAAAACAATACAATGCCTGGGGGCATTAAATTCCTGGAAAAGGCCTGCCCACAGAAACCACCCTGACCGCGACCTTGTCCAAAGACTAAAACCACCTCTTCTGCCGCGCCCAGATCAGTTTCTGGGGTCAGAGCAGAACCAGCCAGGGGAGAGGAGAGAGCAGAAGCTTCTCTGGTGGGAGCCTTTCTTAGGAAGTTTTCTTGAACCTTTTTGGGGCCTGCTTAAAGTTTTCTTTACATCGTTGAACAAGTCTCTGTGTTGTCAATCCCCGACACCCTCCGCACGTTCTCGGACACAGGCCGCGCAGCAGACGCGACAGGCCTGCATCCACCATTCTGGTCTTTTCGATACCAGGAGTTGGGTCTTCTTTCACATCACACAGCTTTCAACCTCTAGGCTATGAGTTTCTAACTTGTCTTTAAAAGGATAAAGCAGACATTACATCTATCAGTGTTAACCCCCACTACCTTTGCAGGAGAAACCACATTCCTGCCATCGCAAAGGAACCTGGGAAATCTAAAAAGCATACACAACCTAGTCACTATTACTAACAAAGTCAGGAGATAGGAGTTAGGTAGAAAGGTGGCCTGGCTTACACGAAGTTTGGTTCTGATTACAAGTTTTTTAAACGTAGATTTCTATCCACAAATCAAAAACACTATTTGATTTCCAAGGGAAGCAATCCAAAATCTAATTCCAAAACTCAGGGTCCTTGGTTGAAACACAGGCTTCTTCATCAGATATGTTGTATCCTCCAGACCTCTGCCCCGCCTCCCAAATAAACAGGGACAGGGTGACTGCGGCAGCAACTACAAATCGGAGCACAGGGGTGTGGGTAGCACAGTGGGGAGAATGACATGGACCTATGATACTCGCTGTAGCAGGAGGAGTGAGTCCATTTGGCTCCCCGCCCTCCTGAGAAAAGCGCCTTTGTCCATGGTCCTTGCTGCTTTCCGTCTTGGCTCCTGGGACTGGCCATCTTGTCTAAGTGCATGCTGGAGAGTTGACTTTCTCCTAGGATTGCTTGTATCTGAATATTTTGCTTTTTAGGACCATGCAGATTGCTGACTCAGTAACATGGGTCCTGAAAACAGAAAATTTGTCTCCCTGTCATTGTATATTTATTTTTAATGCCTCTCTTAAACATACCTGTTTTCTAATTTCTATACTTCACCCATGCTTCTTCACATAATCTTTCCAGAAATCTCTAGCCACTTCACCCAGTTCAGTGAGCAATTTATTTGTGTTGTATACCCACACATGCAATACTATTATCAGTTTTTTTCTTCATATGAATGAGGGATCATCTTTCCAGCCTACCATATTTTGTCCTTCCTGTTCATTAACTTTCTTATCAAAATCACATCAATTCTTTTTCTGTGATATCTGTACCACTTCCAGTAGCAATTTCTCCAACATTATACCAAAGGCTATAATATAAAGTAATTAAGAAGCTGGGAGAATGGGAGAACCGACTCAGTGGTTGAGGGCACTGGCTGCTTTTCTGGGGGACCAGAGTTCAAGGACTAGTATCCATTTCAGTGGATTCAATGCCCTTTCTGACTTCTATAGGCATCAGGCACACACACGCACACACACACACACACACACACACACACACACACACACAACACTCATATAAAATAAAGTCGATCTGAAGAAGGAGAGGAAACTCAGCCATGTCCCACCGGTTTCTCTTCTTAGCTTACACCCTGTCTGATTGTCAGTTTGCCTGGTCTGTGTGTGAGAATTTATAAGCACATTGTGTGCACAAAGAGTCTTCCCTGTAAGGATTTCCTTGGCTAAGATGGGCCTGTATCAGAGTCTCCACCAGACACAGAGAAAAGTGACAGTGTGTGTGCTCAGCATCCACAGGCCCCAACGCAGTCCCCACCCACCCTGGAACTAACAACAGGAACACAGCAGTGTGGAAAGAGGCTCTACTACTCTGCAGTTCCTCTGAAACATCTCCCACATGCTAATGTATTCTAAAGCACTGTACTGAAATTTAAAATTGTCTCATAACAACAACACACTGTTTAAAGTATCGTATAGCTTGGATCATTGTGAACTCACCAACTTGTTCTAACTTTTTTTGTTTTTCTGTTTGGCTTCACAATGCCTGAATCCTGTAACTTCTAATTATGACTCACCTGCATGAACGCACAGCATAACAAGGACTGGACTGTCATCCAGGCAGCCTCCTGTCTAAGAGGGATTAAGAACGTTCTGTTTAAACATGTCTTCTTCTCTTCAGCAGTGAAAGATGCCTTTCTGTTCAATGAGTCATCACCAACCAAAAGCAGGCCCAAAAGTCGCAGGGGATTTGTACAAACAGTCCAAGCTGCCTCAATTCTGCAAGGAGGGAGAAGCAGCCTCTGTAGCTTAGCTCGATAAGCTTTTGATTGGCTGAGGGATTTCATTGCTATTGAAGATGATTTCTCCAAAGTGTATCTAGGACAGTGTTTTCCACTTAGATACACGGACTCTTTCTGTGTGAGTCCATCGTGATAGAAGGCTCCATCTAGAGGGATTCAAAAACATAATTTTCATGAAACGTCAGATAAGAAGTGAGGTTGTTTTCAAATTCAAGGGAAGTTCCACTTTTTAAACCAGAATGAAGCTGACTAGTCCCCAAAGAGATTCGACTTAGAAAGTTTTCCCTCTATTGTGGTTTACATCTTTCTGTCCGAATCTTCACTGAGTTTCGACTTGGAAAAAGCTCAAGAGGGAAGCAGGGGGGTAGCTGAGTGTCTGAACAATGCCATAGAGTCAGCGGCCTTCCGGGTTGTGCATCCTGTGGTTGAAGCTTCCTTTGCTTCTTCCCTCAGAAATCTTTGTCTTTCCTTTGATGACTTTTGAATAACCCTTTCCATGAAGCAGTGATGATTTGAAATAACCAAACTGTTGGGGAATGCAGCTCAGTGGTTCAGCAGCGTTTGCCTAATATACACAACATCCTGCCCTACAAGAAAACAAGGAGAGCCAAAAGGGAAAGAAGTGCCTTAAAATGCTGCATATGGTGAGAGCAATGGTCATTCTTGATAGTGATCTGAGTCACAAACAAAACAACAACAACAAAAAAAAAATGCTGTTAACAAGACAGAGTATGTAATGCACCTTTCTGTGATTTTCATTATTCTATTTAAAATCTCCATTTCTGGTAACTATATGAAAAATTAGCCTGACTGAAATGTGCTAAATTGTATACCACAGCATTTCCTTATTTATTTATTGTTATCTGCTGCAGCTAATCAAATTGTCAAAAGCATCAAAGTAAGAAGCAGGTACTTCCCCCAGGGTCCCCCAGTGAGGTATCTCAGTGCCTAACAACCTGAGTTTGATCCTCCAGGACCCACACAGTGGAAGGAGAGAACAGACTCCAGATGTCCACATGCATGTCAAAATAAATAAAAATAAGTACATAAATAAAATAAAAACTGCCATGTACAGAGCATTGCATTTTAGTCAGGCCAAATTTTCATTTAGAAAGGACTTTAAATATTAACACAATAACCACAAAAAGATACGTAAAGGAAGGAAAGAAAGAAAGGAAGGAAGGAGGAAAAGAAAGAGAGATTAGTTGGTAAAGTCCTCCTTGCCTTGTAAGCATGAGGACCACAGTTTGTTTCCCAGAAACTGTGCTTTAAAAAAGAAAAAAGAAAAAAAAGTTTTCTAGCAGGAGTAAATTGATCCCTGAGGCTCACTAGCCAAGCTAGCCTACTGGGAAAGTTCTAGGGAAATGACAGACTCTGCCTCAAAAAACACCTAAGGAAAAAACACCAAAACAGTAGCAATAAGCACATCTGAGGAAGGACAGCTGTGGCCGTCTTCCCTGACCTACACACACAGCTGAGACTGAAGGCCTGATTGTTGGCGTGTGAACCCACAGCTGTATTAAACTATTACCATGTATAGCAGAAAAATACATATATAACCACTGCTGTTCTATTGTTTAAATTACAGGCGTGATAGTGCACATACCAAGAGACTCAACAGCCCACGTGGAGTTTATTGAAGAGAAAGGGAAGAAGGAAAGGGGTAAGGAGGAGAGAGAGAAAGAAGGGGAGAAGAGGAGCAGAGAAGAGAGGGGCAAAAGGGAGAGAGAGAAATGTGGATGTGCTCGCTTAAAGGGGTAAGCTTGCGCATGTGTGCTGTGTCCTTACGCAGCCCCGTAACGTGTGACGTAGCCATGATGTGGCCACACAACACAGGGCCCTTTGAGCTGCCTAAGTATCTGCCTGAATGCAGATATGGGTGTCCTACGCATTGTCAGGGAGCAGGGTCAGCGTAATGCCGGGTTCCAACAAACATCCAAGTGTATAGCCACAGCTATTAGGACCTTGCCATTGCTACTAGTCAATTATTTGGTTTAAATATTGTTTTCACAAAGTGCCTTTAGACAATTTAATCCTTATTCCCGGAAAAATAAAATAAAACACTGGAGATTAAAAGAAAATGTTTGTCTGGTTTTGACCAGTTGTTTCCGGCTCCTGCTCCCAAAACTTAAACCAAACTGTAGGAACAAGGACACACACACACACACACACACACACGCACGCACGCACGCACGCACGCACGCACGCACGCACACAGACAGACAGACAGCCACAGACACGGAGCCACAGATAGAGATAGACAGAGAAAGACAGAGACAGAGAAGCAGCCCACACAGCTTAGGTCTTTAAAAACAGATTATTGAGCTGTGCTGAGTCTCCAGCTGCCAAGCCTAAGGGAAGTGGACTCGGAGCAAAGAAGCCCCAGGCTCAGCACAGCATCAGACGGCTAAGTAGCAGCAACACCCTGAACCCAGCACGGTGCGCTAGAGCCACGGGTGCAGAAATGCCACACCAGGATGCACCAGGACCTCTAGAGTATGTTTACTACAGTGTACATCCACATGGGTTGCAGAATACCAACCGGCTGCATTCTGGGTCACCCTGATGAGTACTGCTGTGCCAGGTTTGCAGAATTCCAAAGACTAACCCAAGGAGTCACACTGATGGGAAAGCAAAAGGTTCCATTTATTGTTCAGCTGGACAGCCGGATCTCTTTTCATGGTGGAGGAAATGAGATGCCCACCAGCCAAAAACAGAAGCTTTTTTTTTGTTTTTGTTTTTTGTTTTTTTCTCATTTTTTTAATTTTAATTTTAAATAGCTTGTTTTACATGTCAATCCCAGTTCCCTCTCCCTCCCCTCCTCCCGCACCCCCTCCCCCCCAACCTCCCACCCTATTGTCAATTCCTTCCACATAGGGGATATCTAGAAAAACAGAAACTTTTAAAAGGGCAGAGCATAAGGCTGAAAGCCACAAATTTCAGTTTTCATGGTTACTTAAGGTTATACAAAGCAGTAACTATATATTTTAAGCAAGATACATTTGAGTAAGATAAGACAGGGCATGGGCTTGCAGGGCTACAGGGGTCACAGGGTCTGTCAGCTATCCCCTGGACCTGGGGATCTTTAAAGCTGGCAGGGGATCTTTATCACCAGCAATTAAGCAAGGAATGTTAGCAGGAGTGGTGGACAGTTTCCTCCCCTCCTCTGAGAGCAGGGGCTCAGGCACCAGCCATGGCACTCCCGATTTAAAGAGTTTCCTCTTCCATTAGAAGTTCCCTTTCTCTGCATAGATTTAGGGCCCAGGTTTTAAAACTTTTATTAATTTTATTTTTTGGTGCCTCAGAACCTCTGAGTAACTGAAAAAGAAACCTTCTGACACACACAGCATCCTAGGAAAGAAACCAAAATTAGCTGCTATAGGGAGGACACAAGCCTGCAGAGACATTAAGCAGGATCAAGTAGAATTTACAGTCAAGGCATTAATACAAACCAACATGGAAAACATCTCTTCTGTAGAAAGGGGCTTCAACTCATCTCAAATATATGCCTTTAAATGAAAATAATAATCTTACCTCATCCGACTCCACTAGACCTGACTTCCTCCCTGGTGGCTACATCTCACCCATGTTCTGCCCAGATGTTCTGACCTGTTCTGTTCTGTGGAGAAAGGTCTAGGCCGGTGAGTCAGTGAGGAGCCTATCTGCACACCCCACTTGAAAAAGGTCATTAGACACCAAGGTGCCACAAGGGTCTCCCTCTGGCCCACAGAACACCTGGGAAGCCGACCAGGGGCGGCGGCTGAACTTCGGGTGATGATGTCTTGAATTTGAAATGATGGTGTAACTGCAGAACGTGCATGTTTTCATCCGCAAGTGGCTCAAGAAAGTTTCTCCTCTCAGATGACTTTGAACCCAGCACTGGAACCCTAGAAAGAACCCCTCATTTTGTGTGTCCCAGTCTGCCCTAAGTGCCTACACTCAACTGCTTAGTTCACATATGGCAAGAGCATGACATGGTGATCAGCCTTTGACATTTCCCAAGGTGCCCTTCTGAAAGAGAGCTGGGTCATCAGCGAGCTGTAATAGAGTGGGGAGTCATGAAGATGATAGACATTTAAAAGAGAATTGAAGACAGATGGATATTAAGTAAACATACAATAAGATGCGGACATGCCAAAGAGGAGAGGGACCAGCGTACTTTAAACATCAGGTGTGCACGGAGATGGAGAATTGAGATCACCGTGTCCTGAGCAGAGCCTTAAATGGTGTCTTTCTAACCGTCTGCCTGCCTGTCTGCCTGTCACCTTTCTGTCTGTCTGTCTGTCTGGATGTGAGTAGCAGTTTCTAGTGTCCAAACAAGGCAGGCACACAGTTTTCTCTCCAGAGTGTGGTTAACCTTGCATTTGGACCAAGTGTCAGGATGACATCATGTCCAACAGAAAGATGGACACACAAGAACAGCAGCAAGATAGCAGGGCATGATAAGAAGCGAGTCTTCATGTCTTCGCTGTGAATCGTTAGCACAAAGGGGAGAACTGATGCTACTAGCTTGAGCAATAATTGCACAAGGAAAGGAAAAGGCGAGCCGGAGGGCAGAGACCCAGGAAATGTCACCTTTAACATGACAGCTCTCATGTGGCTGTTTACAACTGCTCTCCAGTTCCACCAGAACTTTTAAAAGGAAGTTGCTCCTGTTGCAACTACTATAGTATTGATTTATCAACACGAGCTTATTATAGACCCATTAGTTGGAACTATAATACTTTACTTTCAATCTTATTACTTTATTGTGCATTACCCAATATTATTCAATAGTCATTTAAATTTTTAACAAAATCTCCATAAGAAGTTTAGTCACTAAAATCCCCGAGGAATATAGTCTGTAGGCTTTATTTCAACATTAAAAAGTTCCTTCTTTCAGGTTTTCTAGGAGCTTAATTATACTCCCGAATTTTCATCAATGAATTTGAGCTGTACCTGGTGGTGTGGCCTGCAACCCTAGCATGTAGCAGGTAGGAGCAGGAAGATTGGTGGTTCAAAGCCAGTATCAGCAACAGATTGAGTTAAAGAAATCCTGGGATACATGAGACCCTGACTCAAATACACATGTGTGCACGTGCGCGCACACACACACACACACACACACACACACACACACACACACACACACACGGCCGTATTTAATGCCATAGTTGAGTAAAACTATTATATAAATATAGCATCTTATGAAACCAAATGTTTATGTAGACTTCACGGATCACAAAACTCAGTTAATAAAACCAGATATTTAAGAAAAAAGAAAAAAAAAAAGAAAAGAAAGGGACAAAGAAAGTCTGGATACTGAAAAACCAAAAATGTTTGTAGTAATTATATATGAAAATATAATTTTAGGACAGGTAGGAAATTTGGGGTTTATATTTTTAAAGTAATTCAGCTCCTCTGCTCAACAAATATAAAAGTGCATACAGTTCCTTGGTATCATCAGAGGTTAGTTTCAGGACCTAGGTATGGAATTAGCAGATTTGAAGAACTAATTGTTTTAAATAAGTATCACATCATTTCCAGGAATAGTCAAAAATGGGTCTTGTCATTTTCTCTGTATACATGAAGCCTACTTTGT